AATTGGTTTTATAACTGAGGGTCTGTAAAAATAGGATTATTAATTCAGGAGTCTTGATCAGAAATGGTTTTGAGGGATTTAAATAAAAGATCGAGTCATATAATTTTCCAAATATCAAGTATTTGTAGCAGAAGGTATTTTTCTGGATCAAAGGTCAATATATGCTCACCGTTCTGGGACCTCTAGGCAGAGAAGTGTGGGGAGTCTCTCCTGGTTAACTGAACAGAACGTCTTTGTGACTCTGTAGGCAATGGTCTCTTCACAATGACCCAGTAAAACAAATGTTTAATTCAAGCTCTGGCAATCAAACAATCCTTCTCTGTAAGAAAAATGTCCACTTTGTTATCTTTTCTGGAATTTTTGACTATTTCAGAGCAAACTTTTTTGCATAGCTTCAAAGTCACTTTGCCTTCAAATAAAATTCAAATTTATTTTAAACTAAGAGATCTGCATATTTGTCTTGATGTTACAGCTAGTGCCTTCAAGTGGTTTCCAAACTGAGACACTACTCCTTATTTTCTCTTTATCAAAGTTTCCTTTCCCTTTAAACTTTGTAGGGAAAATTTATAAATGTCCATGAGATTTATACATGTACATGAAACCTTAATAATATGGATTGAGAAAAGTGTTTTTGCCTGAAGTGCAATGTAAGTGATATTTTAAAAATTTCCCTTAAATCACCCTTAGAGTGGTCTTTCTAAAACTGGGTGGATGAAGGTCCAGGCTCTCTGGGTTTAAATCTGAGTTCAACTATTTATTTGCTGTATGATTGTGGACAAGTTGCTGACCCTCTTTGTGCTTCAGTTTTCACCCTGGAAAGGGTAGTAGTAATAGTTTCTATCTTACAGGATTTTTTTCTATTTACCTATTTGGAACAATGACAGGGATATTGTACACATTCAAAACAGCACTGTGGATAGTCAAGTCAGGTGTTACTTTTAAACAGTTGGTCTTAAATCTAATTTTTGACTACACTGGAATTTGGCATTTAGATGATCAGCATTAGATACTGATCTGAGTATTACACTAATGATTACAAACACAAGTTTATATGGTAAAAATGAGCGGCATTTGCTTAGTAATCAGGTTTTTCTGCTTCTCTGAAGTAAGAAACTTGCTCATTTACCAGAATGCTTTACAAAAGTGTCAGTTGAGTGTCCTCAACAAATTTACTCTAAATTCTGTTACATTACTGTGAAAGGACTAGCTTTAAAAATAGAGAGGTTATTTTGTACTAGACATGAGTCTTAACAGGCATTGGATGCCTTTGCTCTGTGAATAGAACCAGGTAGGCTAGAGTCCCCCAGTCTTGTTTCATAAAATGCTAAAATAAAGTTGTCTCCCAATTAGGATTAGTATTTAATTTTCTGGAGTATGTTTTTAATATAAACCAATTTAATTTTAAAATCATGTGCAAATTATTTACTTGCAATGTACTCTACAAAGATTTATATTGTGGGCCCTCCCTGGGGGTGCAGTGGGTTAAAGGGAAACTCTATGAAGCTCTCTGCAGCTGCTTTAGCACCAGTTCAATCCTTGGCCAGGGGGGTGACCCACATGGTGTGGTAGACCCCTCCTGTCTCGCCTGCTGCTCCCCTCAGCAGTGTACTTCTTTAATCTGCTAGTTCTGCTCTGGCCTGTACCTCAGTTCTGTAGGCATAAGTAAATAAATCTTTTAAAAAAAGATTTATAGC